GCATCTCTTCTCCAGGTGCTTTTAAAACTTACGCTGACCTATGGGAAGGGAGGACCAGGTGATTTCCATCCGATAATCAATGAGTAGGACAGGGCATGGGTGGTTCCTGGTCACGTGAGGGTGGTCCCTGAGCCAAAGCATGGTTAATCCTAGATGTAGTATTTTTCTATAAGTCCCGTACTTTCCCTAATTTTAGCCATCAACACCTTGAAAATTTTTGTATGATTTCTTACACCTAACGGCCCTTCAAAATTAGACAAAGCTTTCTAAGGATTTGATGGTGTTTATCTTTTCCTTCTTTGTTACCTAATTATATTTCTGCAACAACTGAGCATCAGTGAACCAAAGGGATAATTTAATTTTGGTTTAAAGTTTAACTTATAAAACGTGCCCAACAAGAGGTTAGCAATGATAACAAATAATAAAATTAATTATAATGATATACTATAATAAGTTATTTAAAGCTTATGATTTATTTCTGTAATTTTGGATTTAATATTTTTGTGCCACAGTTGACTGTAGGTAACTGGAACCACAGAAAATGAAACCACAGATAGGAGACTACTTTTTCTCTAAATCAACTTCTTAGCCAAATCTAGCAATAGGGGAGGTATTTTCTAGAATAGGAATGGAAAGAGACAGCAACCTTAACTACTTGTGGTTGGCACAACTTTATTATGCAAATTTTACAAAAATGTGTTGTCCATGCCAGTGTATTGCTAGGGTTTGTCCCTGAACTGAGTAAGTTCAGCTTCACTGGCTCCATTGGTAACAGTGGTCTGACCATGCTACTTCTCTCTCACTCACCTTCTTGTCACCCACCATAAGCATTCCTTCTCTCTGTCTGCTTTTTTGTTTGTTTGTGGTTTTTTGTTTTCTTTTGTTTCTTGCATTTCTGGATATTGATCCCAGGGCCTTGTGTATGCTATATAAACACTCTACCATTAAGTAATATCCCAGCCCCTCTCTATTTCTGTGTGAGATTAAAGGATCTAGTGATTTGTGATTGTTTTCACTGCCTATCCCATTTGGGGAGATACATTCTAGTGTCTACACTCTAGTTGAAATTCTGAATACATCTCAGATAATAGATCTATTGTTATCCTGTGTATGAAGTTCTAATTCTGTGTATGAAGTTCTCCTTCCGTTATGAATTAGCTAAACCTTTATAAACAGCCACCTGGGCACCTTGCCAAAATGTACAAATAGCTTTGTTTTCATGGGAAAATGTGTTTAAATTTCCAAACATTTAATTCACACATGAACTCTCCTGTAAATTGAGAAATGTCAACATGAGTTACAGAGGCTTAGAAAAAGAGGACACAAATCCAGGCAAGTTGGTCACATTTAGTTGATTTGTTTTATAGCTCTGTTATTCTTCTTATTCAGTTAAGTTTCTCACTTTAGGGAGTAAATACTAAGATACTTTGCTATCAGACACCCATCTTTTCCCCTAGATTTAAAAATAGTGTGTGAAACTGATAAGTGAGAAACATTTTCAGTATTGTCTTTATTTCTTAAAGACCATTTGTTTGTACTGATGGACAAGTTAGCTATATTTAAAATCATCTTTGTTTCTAAGTCATTAGGATTTAATAGATGGCACTCTATCTTGTGATGTGTCTTTTCTTTGCCCTCCATAATTTGTGGTCAAGAGGGAATCATGGAGGGCATATACTCCTCTGTTAGAAAGGTGGAGGAGTGAAATATAAGTTAAAATTATACTGAAAACACCACCTCTTTTTCATTGCCCCCAGAGTACACCTCTGTGATTATTACTTCATGGGGGGTGAATACAAGGCTTTAGGCAACTGAGACTCAAACCTGAGTTCCTAGATAGGCAACCCGGCCATTTAAAGCTTTCTGGGAACAAGCCAGAATATAGAAATTTGAAAGAAGACTCCCTCCTTCTGGTTCTGCTGTTTTGTGGCTTGTTTTATACATTTTTCATTTTTAAGGCAGCAAGTAGGCAAACTGGCTCATAAGATTTTTATTCTTATTTGTTTATTTTACAGTACTGGGGATTGAACTCAGGGCCTTGTACTTGCGAAACAGGCACTCTGCCACTTGAGCCATGCCCCCAGACTGCCTCACAGGATTAAAATACTGAAAACTGATCATAGAGGACTTAAGTACCCAGATGCTAGATAAAAACTGTCTCAGTCATGGAGAAGAAGCCAACTGCTTCAGTACCTTAATGTTTGTTTAGGGAGAATTCAGAGATTAGACAGAAATGACAGAGCAAGTTAGAATTTAGAGCTTAAGAATCCATGGCAGTGTAACAATTACTCATATTTTCTACGTCTGCCACTAGTGCAATCTCCACTAACTTCAAAGGAAGCTGTCGGTGTGGACTACAAGTAAGAGAGGCATGTGATTAAAAATCTTAGCAATTTTGAATTATAGTGCTTTTTGCAAGTATAGTATTTCCTGGGCACTTTTTCTATATAAACCAATGAACAATACTGCACTCTTTTCTTCACCGTACAATCAGACCTCTGCTTCAGTGAGGCTTGACTGTACAGTGTTGCCATTATAGCAAAGGGAAGTGAAAAATATTCCCCTGTGTAGCGCCTAAGTGAAGGGCCATTGTGAGGTAAACAACAGCAGTCTTTTTCCTTAGCACTGAAAGTGCTTTGAACAGTACAAGAATAGTTTAGCCACAGGACTTCAAACCTTAGAGCCAATCAGCTTATTGCTGGCTTGAAAATTTATTTTGCCTGCTGTCCTTTTTGGGGCTTACTTTACTTGGAAAAAAAAAAAGTATGGGCCCTTGTTGACCGTGCACAAAACATAAAGTTTATAAGACCAAAGAATGATGTGTCCCCAGGGCTTCCTTACAAGCTAACAGCACATCCTTGGCCAGCTCTTTGCCTCGTTTGTACTTTGGGGACGCCATCAGGTGGCAACGTAAGGAACTGAAGCTGCTATTGCAGAACCAGTCCCTCTTCTGCCAACCCCTGCTTTGAAATACAGTTGTGCTTTTTTATTTGAGGAACTGAGGCTGCTTTGGATTAGAGTCATGGGGAAAAGATGAACTGACAATAATGAAGTCAGAGGTGTGCCTGGCAGTTGGATTCTTAAATGGCCAGTGTATTTAGTATCCTTTTAGTCCAGCCTTCTCCAGAAAAGAACTAGAAATTAACTTTAAGCTCTTCTTTACTGGAAGAAGCTTTAGTGCAGTCTTTCAGGAAGCCAGGTGATCCCCTCTTAGGGTGGTAACAGCTGTTGTCGTGATTGTAGGATGTAATGCTGATCAGATGGTTTTGAAGTCAAGAAACATTGATCAGGCATTTGCTCCATCCAGGAGAGTATGGCTAGTGCAGGGCATAGAGGGAGGTAGGTCTGTCCTTGAGTACTTGCAGAATAGTTTGAGAAACAGAATGTATGTATGAATTAACAGGGTGACAAATGCAAAATGTGTTGTACGGATATCAAATTCCAGATTGTGTAAGAATGAGCAAAAGTAAGAGGGTAAATATTTCCTGGGTGAATTAATTTTTGAATATACCTGTAAGGCAGTTATAATGTTTTGTCCTCCTTTAGGAAGTGCTACAGCTATAAAATGTGTGAATTGAACAGTTATAGAAGAATGGATCTTCCAAGTTTCTTCCATTTACAGTTAATGATCCTGTGAATCATATATATATATTTGCAAGGAGACATCATTTAATGCCACTTAATGGTGTTCCAAAGGGAACAACTGTCTTAGAAATTGTAGTAATTTTTAAAATACAATACCAGGTAATAGCCAACTTTCTGTGATTTTGTAAGAGAGAAAAAAAAATGAGAGTAGGGTTGATTGTGTACAGAGTTCTTGTTCCAAGATCTAGTGTGCTTGCTTGGGATAGGTGGCAAAATTCTGTGCACTTTCTATTAGCCAAGACAAAAGGAACCCACTGCCAGCAGTTATGCAATTTACAGTGACAAATAAATAGCACAGATACTCCCACCCATAGTCTTTAGAAAAGTATTTTCTGTGGGCACTCAGAGAATTCTCACGAAGAATTCTCTCAACAGTATCTTAGCTAATATAGTATCCAATATTGTCTGACAGTCTTTTTATGATGTACTCAGTCTCCATTGGAAGCGTAACACCAAAGTTCAGTTCAGTATAGTGTTCTGGGTATCTGAAATGATGCAGTCCAAGAAAGTGATTTCTTGAAGTTCTAGATGAATGCAAGAAGAGAGTGTAAAACTATGTAAAGCAGTCATTCTTGACCATTGATTCATTTTTGGATCACAAACTTCTTTGGGAAATGGGATAGGTCTAGATCCCTCTCCTTGCCAATGTACATGTGCATAATGATACCTCATTTTGCATAACATTTTAGGAAATTCACAATTTTAGAGGAATCAGGATCTCTCCCCTCCCTTTTCCCCTGTCTCACCTTTACAGCTATGCTCTCACGGCTGAGCAGCCCTCCTCAAATGGCAGCAGGCTACAGTGAGCAGACATGGGATGATCCTGGAGCACAGGATGCTTGTGCCAACAGGGCACATGCATCTGCTATAATGGAAGGGGGATCAAGGATGAGATTATATGCATTTACGACAGTGATTGATGAGCTTGGCAGGAGGTGTCCTAACACAAGATGTTTATCCCACATTAACAGGAATGTGGTCAGGAATGCGATTTTTCTTAGACAACAACTAAGTCTAATGTGTTAAAAAGGGCCCCATATTTCTTCTTCATAGAGGAGCTCTAACCTAGAGGGATCATAAAGAAAATGTTACAGAGCACCATCTGACCTGCCTAAACCCCCCCAGATTATCAGCATTGTTGACCTTTGGTATTCTTGGTAGAGTTCATAGACTGTCTAACCTGAAGTACTCACAGCTTCTTGGTGAAGCTGAAACAGAGATTCTTGCATGGGGAAGCTGAATGCCTTTATTCCTTTGGGGATTGTTTGCCATTGAGCCAGTTACATGTTGAAAACATCTTATTCTGTTGTATCTGCTTAAGATTCTCATTGGCTGTGGTTTCTTTTGCTTTGCAGTGTTTTAATCTTCGGTGCTTCAGGTGGAGTTGGTACTTTTGCAATACAGGTAAAACAACTTTTTAATTATTTTGTAAAACAACTTTTCAGTCTCATAAATAGGAAGATTTTCGTTTACGTGAATTTATAAGTACACATATCAGGAGTTATTTTTCCTTAAAAGCTGAAAGAAAGGTAAGTCTGGTAAATGCATTTAATTTTAGCTTGCTCTTCTAAATGAATATATTCTAGCATAGCAGGAAGCATTAACCTTTCCAGTAATTTAATATATGAGTTGGGTACATGGAGGAGAGCTCTTTGGGAGGAAGACCATGGGCAGCTAGGCAGATGGGAGTTTGTAAGTTAGTAGGAAACAGCCAATATCAAAAACCAACGCTAGTTTCCAGTCAACATTTCTATAGGCTTTTTGTAGAAAATGATAAGCTGATTCTAAAATATATATAAAGCTGCAGTAGCCAAAATACTGTTAAGATGGTAATATTCTACCAAAGTGATTACGTATTGAATGCAATACCAGTCAAAATGCCAGCTGCCTTTTTTGCATAAATAGAAAAGCTTATCCTGAAATGTATATGGAATTGCAAGGGGCCCCAAAGAGCCAAATTATCTTGAAAAAGGACGAAGTTAGAGGATTCATACTTCCCAATTTCAACCTTACTACAAAGCCACAGTAATCTAAATAGTGTGGTACTGACATAAGGACAGATATATTGATCAATGGAATAGAATTAAGCATCTGAAATAAACCTATACGTCTATGGTGAATTGTGATACTGGGTTTTGAAATCAGGGCCTTGCACTTGAGTCATGCCTCCAGCTCAGTTAATTGATTTTTGCAAGGATAGCAAGACCATTAAATGAAGGAAAGAATAGTCCTTTCAATCAATGCCGCTAGACATTGACAACTCGGTATCCACATACAAAATAGTGAAGTTGAACCCATATCCCAAATGATATACAAAAAAATGACTCAAAGTGGGTCAAAGGCTTAAATATAAAAGCAAAAACTATAAAAGTCTTAGCAGATAATACAGAACTAAATATTCATCACCTTAGATTTGGCAGCAAATTCTTAGGACACCAAAGCACATGCAACAGAAGAAAAAAATAGATAAATTGAATTTCATGCAGTTTGAAACTTTGGTGCACCAAAGTTTCTAAGGGCACTATGAAGAAAGTGAACAGGCAGCCCACAGAATTGGGGGAAAATATTTGCAGATTGTTAATCTGATATATGCTGACTATATAAATAATTCTTACAACTCAACACCAAAAAGCAAAGAATTCAATTTTAAAAATAGAAAAGAAGCCAAGCCAGGTAGGACATGCTTATAATCCCAGCACTTGGGAGGCTGAGGCAGGAGGACCCAGAGTTCAAGGCCATCCTGGGCTGCATATTGAGACTATGTCTCAGACAAAACAAAACAGAACAACAACAACAAAAAGAACTTGAAATAGTATTTCTTGAATGAGTACATATAAGAATATGGGCTTTTGCCCATGGGAAGATGTTCAGTATCATTAGGCAGTCAGGAAATGGCAATCAAAACCAGGATGAGCTACCATGCCACACCCACTAGATAGTTAGAATTCAGCCTGAAAAGTAACAAACAGTAAAGGCAGACAAGGATGTACAGAAATTGGAACCTGTATTAGTCAGTTTTCTGGTGCTCTAACGTATACCCGAGATTATCAGTTTATAAAGAGAAAAGGTTTGTTTTGGCTCACAGTTTTGGAGGTTTCAGCCCATAATTAGCTGACTTAGTTGCTTTTGAGCTTGTGGTAAGAAAGCAAACCACAGTTGCTGTATATGGCAGAACTTGTCATCTCATGGCCAGGACGTGGAAAAGAGAAAGAAAGGAAGAGACTGGGATACATTACCCTTTTTTGAGGGCATGCCCCCAGTGAACTGGGAACTAACCCTTTCCACATAGACCTTTGGGGAACATTAAGTTCCAAACTATTGCTAAACTTTCATACATCACTGGTGGGACTATAAAAATAGTGTAGCTGCTGTGAAGAGTTTGTTGGTTCCTCAAAATGTTAAGCATTGCTGGGTGTGGTGGCAGCACCTGTAGTTCCTACTGCTTGGGAAGCTAAAGCAGGAGGATCATTTGAGCCCAGGAGTTCAAGACCAACCTAGGCAACATAGTGAGACCTCATCTCAAAAAAGAAAAAAAAAAAAAAAAAAAGCCAGCAATTCCATTTGCAGGTATGTGTTTGAGAGAAATGAAAAATGTACATTTAAAGAAAAACTTGTTCACTAATGTTCATAGCAGCATTATGCATAATAGTGAAAAATGAAACTAACTCTAATATCTATCAACTGATGATTGGATAAACAAAATGTGATATATATATATATATATATGTCATTTTACTCAAGTGCATCTGTTTGCAGCCCATAAACACAATAACACACATTTAGGACGTCACTCCTAAATGATTCAGTTCCCCTCAGATTTTCAGGGTATGTAAACCCTTAGCCAATGTTGATTTTTAAAAGTGAGACTTACTAGGACATCCCAGTTGAACTCTTTGCTTCTTGTGTGTTTCTTTCCCTGTAACTCACATATTAACTAACTAACTAAATAAATGTTATTTTAAAAACCCAAAAAAAAAAAAAAAAAAGCAGTGAGAAATTAGGTAAGATTATTAATGAATTTAAAGCCCTTTACTTACCTTTTGTATTTAACAGGTACTAGCACCTCTGCGTGTGTGAATGGGGGTTCACGGAAAACACAGATCCCTTTTGTTCTAGTGAACCTGAAGGAAGCTCAAAAAATTGATACTCGGGACAGAATTGAGAAAATAGATGATCTCAGGACCTGTAACCAGTGAACTTTAAGTAACTATTCTCAAATTAAGCTGAAAACAGTCCCCTCTTAATTCTATAAAATTGATAGTACAGAAAAAAGTTCATGTTTAGAGGGCATTTTCTGGATACTTAATCCTGAATAACATTAGAATTCAGCTCTCTTTTTAAGTTTGCTTTAAAATGTAGGTTATCTGTATTCTAACCCCAGGAGACTATTTATTTAGGTCTTTTATTCCAAAGAAGAGAACCTGATCCATGTTTTAAAAATAAAGTGTTCATATTTTCTTTCCCTTCTTAAAATGAGCAACTAATAGCATCTAATAGCTGATTACTTATGATAGATTATCTGAATCAAGACTGCATTAATACTTTTTGGAGATGCACATGATGAAATAGTACATTTTTATGTTTTGGACACACTTAAAATAGTCATTTTTCTGAGGATGTGTGTGTGGTTTTTTGGTGAGATTTTTGTTGTTATTTGTCTTTACATTGAAGGTGCTAAATTTGATGCTACACTGTCTCCTGTGATACTGGTGAGGCACTGAGCCATTCTCTGAAGACTGGCTAAAACTTTATGTCATAAAGGCAATAGACTTTTTTTTTTTTTTTGCATAAAATTAATGTTTATTCCACCTTTGTGTCATATTCCTGGATCCTTCACCAATGTTACATAAGGAAAAAACAAAAGCAAACAACTGAAAAACTGAAACCAGAACCACTAGTGTTATCAAGTTGGGAAACAAATAAATTAAATCTAGCAGCCATCGGCAAGAGTACAACAAAGATAATGCTGTAAAAAGAAATAAATAAAATTGCCAGAAAACTGTATGCATCATACTCTTTCAAACCAGCAAAATATGTTCCTGCATAAGATGAAACATAAACAGAATTTTTTTCGTATTAAGGAAATGCAAGTTCCTATAGAAATGCATTTCCTATAGAAATGCAAGTTCATTTTCGAATACTGTGGATGGGTAAAATGTGTTTATAATGGCAATTTTACTTTAAAGAGTGGGCCAAGGACACATTTATAGATTCTGGGGAAGATGTGCACTGCTCTTCTTTGATTGGGATAGTGGGCACTAGCAAAAATTTTTTAAAAATGAACACAGAAGTATAAGACAAAGGCGAATGAGACTTCTCTTATATTTTAGCAACATTTAGGTAGACTCCAATTTAAATGCAATCCACTCTGCTTTGATGAGGCTTTGGTTCAGCTCCAAGATCTTGACTGCTGTGTGTGACTTCTTATATGAGAATATTCAGAAGGTGTCTTCTTAAACAATAAACCTATTTTTAGTGGTGGAGCCGCTCTTAGTAGCTGTATCTGCATGGGACTGATAATCAATCACTATCTTTGGGGGAAGTCCTAACCTTTCCTTGTATATGTGTAACAGCCTCTCTGTTTTCACATTCAGGAGTCCATATTGCTATCTTATCACCTTTAGCTCTAACATTAACAACTGCTCCACATACATCATCACTGTAGTCGTCAGACAACTCTCCAATAAGGCACAGCAGTGTCTCTAGCCAAAAGCCATCAAGGTCACTTTGTCTCTGCTGTTTGTTCAATGTAATTAGCCATCGTCCTCCCCATTCGTTTTTCGCATCTTCCCACATAGGCTCAATACCATCCTTAAAAAGTGAGTAGTCACAGCCAGGCATTAAATTACGAGACAACTGGATATGGTTGTAGAGAGTCTAAAGTCTCCAATAGTATCAAACTTAGAGATCAGTTGAAGGTTTGCTTGCCAAGTTTTGCTTTTATCATTTTTAAAAAATCAGAGTGCCCACCTGTTCTGTACAGATGTTTAATATAATGTTGTGGGTTAGCAACCTCCTAAGTAGATTCTGTTTTTTTCCTCTTCTGTAGGTGGGGGATTAGGAATAGGAGTGGGTTCTGGTTCCACAGTCGCCATCTTAGATCCCATCTGACTGTCTTGTCTTTGGAAGATACATCTATATGTTGGGATTTTCTTAGTAAACAAAAATTTAGTCATTTTTGCTGGTCTCTGACAGGTGGCTTCCTATAGTTTTTATTAAGATGAGGTACTTATGGTCACCTAGAGATTAGTCTGACATGGTGCCAACTTAAAGTACAGTGTTTTTTTACTTTCCTCCTCTTTTTTTTTTTTTTTTTTTGGTAGATAATGAAAGCATGGGGTGCTCATGTGACAGCAGTTTGCTCTCAAGATGCCGGTGAACTTGTGAAGAGGCTTGGGGCAGATGATGTAATTGATTACAAGTCTGGAAGTGTGGAGGAGCAACTGAAATCCTTAAAACCGTGTGTACTCAAACAGTGCTGCTGTTTGGAAAGTGGGAACAAGGACCTTGCACAGCTAAAGTGGTTTGGGACCTCACAGTCACATTGGAATCTTTGAAAAGAATTTAAAATATTCTTTGTCATTAAGTTGTTTAGATTGGTTTCCATTTTAATTTCGGAGGTTATTGTAGTATGGTAATGTAATGTGTATGTACTGAGGAAGTTATTTTATTTACATGGTCTTTTGCTGGATTTTAAATTAACTTTTATTACTGGTTTGTAAAGGTTTGAAGGCAAAATTAGAAGTTTGTTCCCATTGATGGCATGTGTCACCACAGGAAGAATATAGGCATGAGACCACATGGTTTGCACCAAACACACTTTAAGTGCTTTGGCTTAATAAGGACGTAAGTGAAATAATGTAAGAGTAAATACACTTGGATGTCCTTGGAACACTATGGATGTCCTTGGCGTTTGCTTTGGCCTGAGGTTCCAGATAGGGAAAGACTCAGGAATTCTCTCAAACCTTGTTGCTCCTGACTGTGGCTCCTTTATTAATCTGATCTTCATTAGCCAAGACAAAACCAAAGCTGAAAATGTAACTGAGGAGTATTTGGAAGGCTGTTTTACTGCTATGATTTCAAAAAGATTTTCCTTTTTTAAAAAATTAGTTTCAAAAGCCACTTATTCTTGCCCAAGTTGAGAAGAGTATTTTCATAGGTTAAAAGCAAAAAAAAAAAAGCTTCTCCAACATCACCACCTCGCATTTCTCAGCCAGTGCCACCAACTCCAACAGTGGTATGATGGTACTCCCAGGAATAGCCAGATGATGACTCATTCATTATTCCTTCCACACTTCATGTAGCATCTGTCTTTGCCCAACACTGTTCTAAACCCTGGATACCATGGTAAATAAGACACAGTCTCCCTTTGGGAAGTCTCCATCCTAGCTGGGAAGTTTTAGAGGCTCTGAGGAAAGTTGATGCAAGGAAGAAAGAGAACAAATGGTTGGGGTAGTGGGGTGGGGGTTGTCGTAGGTAGGATAGTTAAAGAATGCTGCTGTTGTAAGGAAGTGACCTTTGGGCAGAGCTTTAGTTAGCAAGATGTATGAATAGGATTTGTTTATCTGTTTGTTTTTACCTGTTCCCTATTGTATCCCTCTACCTGGAGCTAGTGTAGTAGTACATAGTAGGTACTCATTAATATTTGTTAATTATTGAGGAGGTCTAGGAGAACAATTGTTCCAATGGAAGATAACAGCAAATGCAAAGCTCCTGCATCAGGAACATGTTGACATGGTTGAGGACTCATAGCCATCCCCTCCTGAATGTCAGGGCTTAAGCCTCTGTGGTTCCCTGGAAAGTGAGGACATGACAGGTCCCCAAGGTCTGGTTCTGTGTAGCAGTGGTTTAGGTTGATACCATATCTTCTACTGCTAGGAAAAACAGCATGACCTTGAGGCCAACGCCAGTCCATTCCCCTTTATTGACCTTAAGATTTATATGTGTCTAGAATTTGTTTCCAGAGCAAGGAGAACCCAACAGGTGGAAGGCTAGAGGACACTCAGTCTAGCCTCCTAGCCCCATGCTTCAGTTCCCCTTCAGCATCTCTACCAAGTGGTCCTGTTCCTTGGCTTGCACTTTCCCAGTATGGAGATCTCACCAGTCTGCAAATGCAGGCCATCACTTCTAGTTGTACTGCTTCTACTGCTACTACTGCTACTGCTTCTCCTTCTCTTTCCTTTTCCCTCCTTCCTTCTTTCTTCTTCTTTGACAATATTAGTTAAAATTGATCTTTTTAACTTCTGCCTGGAGTTTGGGTTTTGAATCTACCTACAGTAAATTTGTTCCTTTTTGCAAGTAGCAACTTTTTAGGTATTTGAATGAGAGTTTTATAGCAAGAAGCAGCTTCGAGTGCCTCCAGTTCACCCCTACCATATTACAGTTGAGAAAGTGAGAGGCAGAGGATTTGTGAATTTTCTTTATGTTCAGGGTCATGCCATTAATCATTCGTTAGAGAGAGAACTGGGTCTTCAGATTTCTCTTCAGACAGTGCTCAGTCTATAACACCAGGCTACCCTTAAGTTTTAAGTGTCCTTATATTTGTTTATCCAAAAATTTTAAATGAAGTGGAAGCTTTTCTAATGAGAAGAATAGTCATCTAGTAAGGTCATTCTTTTACTCTTTGTATCCCTTAATTTTTTTCTTTTTTTTTTTTTTTTTTTAGTTTAATCCCATTAAAGTACTCAAGATCTATGAAATTGGCCAAGGCTGATTTTAGAAGCTTTGATGTTTGACTTCATCCAGATAAATTGGGAAGGGAAGAAAAGCTTTACTTAAGAGGAATTCATCAGTTGATTTGCTTAATTTATACACATGCATTCTCTAAATAGATCTTTGTTCCTGAAAGTATTTGAAATCTTTAGAGGATTTTTTATCTTTTCTAAGATCAGTTTTAGGTCAGATTTAAGGATTTAAATAGCTATCATTTCCTGTGGATTCTATTTTGACAATTTTTTTTAACATATTAGAGCAGAATTGAAGACTGAGAGGAGGGTGTTGATTTCTCTTCATGCATTATTCTGATGCTATACATGAAACCAAAACATAGAACATTCCAGAAGGTATAAAAAGGATGCTTCTATAAGCATTTCTCACCATAGAATAAAAATAAATCATTCTTATGGGCAAAAACCTTTCAAGTATTTGCTTGTACTAAAGAATACTTTGACTTTAATTGAGTGGATAGCTTTGCAGTCTTCAACAAAACTTAAGTTAGGAGTCCTCAATGTTGGCAACTTCAGTTCCTCAACTGCTGATATTTTGGGCTGAAAACTTTTTTTGGTGTGAGGGTTTGTTCTGTGCATCTGAGACAAAATCATGGTTCAGAACAACTTGCTTAAGTCCTTTTTTTTTTCCCCCATGCTGGGAATTAAACCCAGGACCTTTCATATGCTAGGCAAGTGCTTTACCACTGAGTTAACATCCCCAGCTTAAGTCATTCTTAAAGTATTAGAACATGATATGATTTTTATGATAAAAAATTAGTCACATTTGATTTACCTTGGAGAAGAACCACCAATGCAGTGAGTGGGTCCTCTTCTTTCTGTCAGAACAGTGAACTGGCTCTATGCTGGATGGTGTGGTGCAGCATGGTGTGCGAACTTCACTGAAGCAAACCCTGTAGCCAGTGGGCAGTGGGAGTTAAGGGGGATCAGAGCCTAGTGGAGATACTCACAAGGATGTTTTGATTTGACTCTTTCTCTCCAGGTTTGATTTTATCCTTGATAATGTTGGTGGGTCCACTGAAACATGGGCTTTAAATTTTCTCAAGAAATGGTCAGGAGCCACCTTTGTGACTTTGGTGACTCCTTTCCTCCTGAACATGGACCGACTGGGCATAGCAGATGGCATGCTGCAGACAGGAGTCACCGTGGGTACCAAGGCATTAAAGGTAAGAATGAGAGTCTTGGTTGGTGAGAGCAAGCAGGTACCTTGTGCACTAGAAATTGTTTTGCCACTTTGCTGCTTTCTCTTCTGGAGCCAGCCTAGCACTTTGGCTGTCAGCATGGGCTCTGGAGTTACACTGACTGGGTTCAAATTTTGGTGGCTACTCAGTAGCTGTGTGACCCTGTACAAATTACTTAACATCTCTAAGTCCAATGACTTCACTTACAAAATAAGGCTAATAATTTATATACCTTACTACATTGTTGTAAGCATTAAATGAGATAATCCACATGAAGAACCTAGCATAATGACTAGTACATAAAAAAGTTGTTATTAAATATTAGACTTGGGCCGGGTGCCGGTGGCTCACACCTGTAATCCCAGCTACTCAGGAGGCAGAGATCAGGAGGATTGTGGTTCAAACCAGCCTGGGCGAATAGTTCATGAGACCCTATCTCAAAAAAACCCATCACAAAAAATAGAGCTGGTGGAGTGGCTCAAGGTGAAGGCCCTGAGTTCAAACCCCAGTACAGCAGAAAAAAAAAAATTATTAGACTTGTATGCTAGCAGAGTGGCTCAAGTGGTAGAGCTCCTGCCTAGCAAGCATGAGGCACCGAGTTCAAACCTCAATATTACCAGTTATTAGTTGTTAATTACTTCTCTTGATTACATCTGATACTCCATCACCTTCCTTCCCATCTATATCTGATGGCTTTTTCTGTTTCACCAGTCAACACGTACAGCCCCTTGGGCATAAAAGTAGAAACTTTATTAATAATAGACAGCCTACAGCTGTTGTTTTCATGAAAGTAGCATTGGGATATATCAGGAGTTCCTGGACTTGGGCTTTTTGACCTTTAGAAGTCTATGGGCATTTTATTGAATTTCAAAAACTTAAAGAAAATTATGCTTTTACTATAAAGACTGGTAGAGCCATGATGCCCCGGGATTATATCAATTTGTCCTAACATTGCATACATACCCCTGTGAATTATAAACTCTGCTATTGATGGCATTCTGGAAGTTTCTGGGACTTGATTAGTCAGCCTAATCAATAGTCCACTGTTGCCAGGACCCTATGGAGTTATAGCACCTAGTAGGTGCACCTAGTTAGTGGTGGGCCCTGAGGATCAGTTCACATCATCCTCATTTGTGGGACTAACAGCAGAGCTTAAGCATCTGCTCTGTGCTCATTGTCCTACTTCCCATTCTCCTGCCTGCTTTGGTTTACTTCCTTTCTATAGTGGCCTGGAAAAATCACAGACCCCTTATGGCAGAAAATAAAAATTCTGCCATTGCAGACCAAGAGTTTCTCTTTGCAGAGTAAAATGCTGTAAAGAATAACAGATCTGTCAGTTGTGATCATTTTAACATAATTAACAACTAATAAGTCTAATTTTTTTTTTTTTTTTTTGATGATAAATGAGGTTTGAACTCAGTGACTCACGCTTGCTAGGCAGGCACTCTACCACTTGAGCCACTCTGCCAGCATACAAGTCTAATAATTTTTTTTGTGGTACTGGGGTTTGAACTCAGGACTTTTACCTTGAGCCATTCCATCAGCCCTGTTTTTGTTATGGGTTTCTTTGAGATATGGTAACATGAACTATTCACCCAGGCTGGCTTTGAATCACGGTCCTCCTGATCTCTGCCTCATGAGTAACTAAGATTATAGGTGTGAGCCATCAGCACCCAGCTGTTGTTACCTTTTCTGTTCCTTCTTTTTCTTTTTAATTTTTTTTTTGGCAGTACTGAGGTTTGAACTCAAGACCTTACACCTGCTAGGCAGGTGCTCTTTCCACTTGAGCCACTCTGCCCTCCATTTTTTCTGTTGAGTATTTTCAGGATAGGGTCTGGTGAACTATTTGCCCAGGCTGGCTTCAAACCACAGTCCTCCTGATCTCTGCCTTCCAAATAGTTAGGATTACAGGCGTGAGCCAACAGGATCCAGCTTCTGTTTCTTCTTTAATACCTTAAGCAACTTTCAGAATTGGGTTTTTGAGAAAAGGTCTTTGTTATGTATGCTGGCCATAGACTCAAGATCCTCCTATCGCAGCTTCCCAAGTGCTGGGATAATAGGCATGCACCATTATGCCAGGCTCAGATATTTCAGTTGTAATTCATGAGGACAGGAGTTAGGGAGAAGCTTCGGTACATGTTTTCTGTGAGTGTCATTAACTGGGCCCACTGGGACCTTCTCAATGTTTTTGGTACCTAGAGAAATTTCTTCAAACGTCTTTTTTTTTCTTTTAAAATTAATTGCCTAGACCAGGGCTTCCCAACACCTTTGGTGTCATGATACACAGGAAGTGATGGTACTTGAACAGCTTATTGAAGCTCCTCTGGGCCAAGAATAATCTATCTGGAGACTTTTTCATGTGACCCTGAGGGCTGAGGGGAGTCAGTACCTCATCACTCTTATTCCAGAAGAAGTTTGGCTGTTTCCATTTGTCCTCCTTGGGCTATTAACGGTGACTCTTAACTCTCACAATTTCTCTGGGTTGGACAATAAACTATGAGTTCACACACCAGTAAGCCATTCCTGGCACACTCTTTGGGAAGCTTTGCCTGCAACAACTTAGTTGTTTTTGTTTTCTTTTCTTTTGTTTGGCAGTGCTGGGGTTTGAATTAGGACTTTGTGCTTATTTAGGCAGACATTCTCCCACTTAAAACATTCTTCTAGCCCTTTTTGCTTTAGTTATTTTTTGCTTTTTGCCCAGGCTGGTCTGCATCACGATCCTTTTATTTTACTCTTCCTGCCGTGGCTGGCATGTACCACCATGCCCAGATATTGGTTGATATGGGGTCTTGCACACTTTTTGCCCAGTCTGGCCTGGAACTGGGATCCTCTTCAATCTTAGCCTCCTGCATAGCTAGGATTATAGGCTTGAGCTACTAGTGCCCAGCTGTTTCTACATTCTTAAACTCTGATTTGCTATTGTCTGAGTCTTTCCTCATTAAGCTTTCTTTAAGCATTGGACAAATAATTCTTGAATACCTTTTATTTATCAGGCACTTTACATGTATTCTCATTGAATTCTTTCCTTGACCCTGTCAGCTAGTTGGTGGTGCCAGCCTTCTACAGGCCAGTTTGAAGTCAGCCTTGGCTTCATAGAAAGTTTGAGGTTAGCCTGTACTACATAGCAAAACCCTGTTTCAGAAAACAAAAACAACAACAACAACAAAAACACCTCAGCTTGCTCTTTTGATAATGGATCACCTACCTCCAACATAGAAAAGAAAAAAAGTTATATTCCTGCTTACTGCCTGAACACAATAAATGAAACTAGAATGCAGCAACAAAAGAAGCAGCAGAAATTGCTCAAACAATTGGAGGCTGAACAACATGTTGCTCAGTGATCAGTGTGTCATAGAAGAAATAAAGGAGGAAATAAAGTTCCTAGAATTTAATAAAAATGAAAACACAATCAATCAAAACATATGGGACAGCAAAGGCAGTCCTAAGAGGAAAGTTTAAAGCCACGAGTACATATATTAAAAACACAGATCTCAAATAGACAATCTAATGCTGCATCTCAGACTCCTAGAGAAACGAGAACAAGCTAAACACAAAACAAGCAGTAGAGACACTCCTTAAACTTTACCACAAAATAGAAAGGGAAGGAACACTGCCTAACTCATTCTATGAAGTCTGTATTGCATTCATCCCCAAATCAGACAAGGACACAACAAAAGAGGAGAATTGCAGACTAATCTCTTTAGTGAACATAAATGCAAAAATCTTCAATAAAATAATAGAAAACTGAATTCAACAGCATATAAAAAAAGACCATACACCATGACCAAGTCGGCTTCATCCCAGGGACACAGGGATGGTTCAACATATGCAAATCTTTAAATGTAATATATTAACAGAAGCAAAGACAAAAACCACCTGATCATCTCAATAGGTGCAGAAAAAGCCTTCAATAAAATTCAACATCTTTTCATGATAAAAGCTCCAATGAAACTAGGAATAGAAGGACTGTACCTCAACATTATAAAGGCTAAATATGACAAACTTATAGCCAACATTATACTTAATGGGGAATACTGAAACCTAAAGTCAGGTTCCCCTAAAACTGTTCCCCTAAAGTCAGGAACAAGATAAAGGTGCCCACTCTTTCCACTCCTATCCAACATAGTCTTTTAATTTCTAACCAGAGCAATAAGACAGGAACAAGAAATAAAAGGAATACAAATAGGTAAGGAAGAAGTAAAAACTATCGCTGTTCTCAGATGACATGATCTTATACCTAAAAGACCGGAAAAACTCCTAGACACCATAAACAGCTTCAGTAAAGTAGCAAGATACAAAATACATTTACAAAAATCAGTAGCCTTTCTATACACCAACCATGAACAGATTGAGAAAGAATATAGGAAAACAATTTCATTTACAATAGCCTCAAAAAAAAAATCAAATATCTAGTAATAAACTTAACAAAGGATGTAAATGACCTCTACAGGGAAAACTACAAACCATTGAAGAAAGAAAGAAATCAAAGAAGACTATAGAAAATGGAACGATCTCCCATGCTCATGGATTGGTAGAATCACCATCGTAAAAATGGCTATACTACGAAAAGCAATCTACATGTTCAACACAATTCCCATCAAAATCCCAGTTACATTCATCACAGATGATTGTTCATTTGGAAGCACAAAAGACTGAATAGCCAAGTAATATTGAGCAAAAAGAGCAACAATACCCAACTCAAACTATACTTCAGAGCCATAGCAATAAAGACAGCATAGTACTGGCACAAAAACAGATGTGAAGACCAGTGGAACAGAAGACTCAGATATGAACCCACACAACTATAACCACCTAATTTTTGAAAAAGGCCTCAAAAACATGATGGAGAAAAGACAGCCTCTTCAACAAATGTTGCTGGGAAAACGTTATCTGCCTGCAGAAAATTGAAACTAGGTCCATGTTTGTCACCCTGTACAAGTATCAACTCAAAGTAGATTAAGGACCTTAATATAAGACCTGAAACTTTGAAGTGAGTACAGGAAAGAGCAGGGAATATACTGGAAGTAATAGGCATAGGCAGTGACTTCCTCAGCAGAACTCATTTGGCTCAGCAACTAAGAGAAAGGATGGACTAATGGGACTACATGAAATTAAAAAGCTTCTACACAACAAAAGAAATTGTTTCTAAATTGAAGAGGCTATCCACAGAATGGGAGAACATCTTTGCCAGCTATACATCAGACAAGGGACTGATAACCATAATATACAGGGAGCTTAGCAAACTACACTCACCCAAAAAAATCAATGACCCAGTGAAAAAAATGGGCAAATGAACTGAACAGAGCCTTTTTCAAAGGAAGAAGTTCAAATGGCTAAAAAAGAAACACACATGAAAAATGCTCATCATCCCTGGCCATAAAGGAAATGCAAATCAAAACCACATTAAGATTCCATCTCAACCCTGTTAGAATAGCTACCATCAAGAACACAAACGATAACAAATGTTGGCAAGGATGCGGGGAAGAGGGGGAAAGGAGTCCTCATACACTGCTGGTGGGAATGTAAGCTAGTGCAACCACTATGGAAAACAGTGTGGAGGCTTCTTAACAAACTAAAAATAGGTCTGCCGTATGACCCAGCAATGTCACTCCTAGGGACATACCCAAAGGAATGTGAGTCAGCTTACATCAAAGACACCTGCACAGTCATGTTTATTGCAGCACTATTCACAATTGCTAAGCTATGGAGACAGCCAGGATGCCCCAGTACTGACAGATGGATTAACAAAATGTGGGATTTATATACAATGGAATTTTACTCAGCCACAAAGAATGAAATTTTGTCATTCACAGGTAAATGGTTGGAAATGGAGAACATCATCTTAAGTGAAGTTAGCTAGATTCAGAAGGCCAAAAGCTGCATGTATCTCCTTCATGTGGAATATAAACCTAATATAAACACAGCAATATTATGAAACCCTGGTCACACTAAAGGGAGGCCACCCATGGGAGGGCTATTCTAAAAGAAGGAAACTAAGAACTTGAATATGAGTGATATATATATACATATATATATATATATATATATATATATACATACACTCTGTATGCAAGAATGAATTTAGAAGTCTTAAACCAGCTGAAGCCACCATAAGAAATGGACTAAGGTAGAATGTAGATAACTAGAGGAGATAAACCAATTGGAGGTATAACACATATATATGGAAATATCACAAGGAAACTCCCTGTATGGCTACCTTTATTTCAAACAAGGAAAAATGTTATGATTTTCTTTTTATCTTTTCTCTTCTACAAAATTGGAGAACAAGAGAGTAGAACAGGTCCTGCCCAGGGGGAGAGGGTTGGCACCAGTGGGAGCAGGGGAGATAGCAGGGAAAAGGGGTGCAAAAAGTGTGTGCACATGCATTTAAATGCAAAAATGATACCCGTTGAAACTATTCCAGGAATTGGGAGGGTGGAGGTAAAGGGGAGTGGTAGAGGGGGTGAATTCAAGTATGATACAGTTGATACATTGTGAAAACCTTTATAAATGCCACAATGTACCCCCCACCCAGCATAACAATAAAGGAAAAATGCTTTTTAAAAAACGGTTATAAGAGCAGAGTTAAATCCTCTTGGTTTTGTAAGATCTTTATTCATCCACATTTGGAGAGGTTTTTGTCCCATAATAAATTGAATGGCTTGGTAAATGCCCTAACTGAAGGAGAAGACTAGTCATGATGTATAAGGAACTTCATACTTTCTTTTCCCTTTAAAGTTGTCTTATTTCTGTCAAAGTCAGAAAAAAAAAACTGATTGGGTTTTCTTGTCTAAGATCATTTTTGATGTTTTACTTCCCCTATTTGAATTTGCTAAAAATTGACTTTCTGGTGCCTCTGGGCTTTTCCAAACCTTAGTAAGGAAAGTCTGGTGGCCCCAACCCATAATTTCTCCTAGGGAAGCAGTCAGTGTGGGACGTGATTAACACTTAAGGAAGCTGTCCTGTGCTTGCTTGTCAGTCACAGGGTGGAGAAAAAGCTTGGGTTGATGTAGATGTGTCTTTTGTTTATTTCATTTATTTCTTGTTTTAATGTTTTTGTTTTTTTTATTTTGGCAGTACTGAGGTTTGAACTCAGGGCCTCATGCTTACTAGGCATGTACTACCACTTGAGCTGTTCCACCAGCACTCACTTATTCCTTAAACATTATGGAACATCCGTTCTTTGTCAGTCACTGTGCTAAGGTGTTGGGCAAACAACTTGTGTCAGCATGAAATGAAAAATTGGTTTGTTTGTCTTACTCAGAAAACGCCTTTCCCTGAATTTGCATTCAGTCAGATTTTATCCTTTACTGTAGTTGACATGCTTTGTTTTCTTCTTTCTAGCATTTCTGGCAAGGAGTCCATTATCGTTGGGCCTTTTTCATGGCCAGTGGTCCATATTTAGATGACATTGCAGAATTGGTGGATGCTGGAAAGGTAGGTGCATCTGGAAACCTTCTATTTAGGAACCTGTGTATTGGCAGAGCACCTCCTTTGGACCTGCCCACCATACCTCATCCGTGGGAACATTCCTGAGGTAGGCTAAGCCAGAATATATAGTGCCTTACATGGCCAAGTTTAAGTGCTATATTTTTGTTTCTGTTGCCACAGAAATAATGGACACAGACTGGTCAATCTGAGAAGAACATACCCACAACTAGTTCACCCTCATTGGTTTTATAGATAAAGAAGCAGACCTGGGGAAGTTATAGGATTTTCCCAAAGTCACTGAGTTAGATGGTGGCAGAGCTGGGATCTGCATTGGGCTGCTAATGCCTTGGTAATGATCCTGAAAAGATGTCACCATGAAGGCCATTTCGACATGAAGGTGGGAACACACTTGAGTTTCAGTACAGCTGCTTCAGAAGCTGCCTCAGTCTGAGGGTGAGGGTGCCTTGGAGAGAGCCATTTTCCATTTGAAAGGGGAAGCAAATGCTATGCCTGAGAAGGAAGTCCGCAGGTTGCCTCATTCCTAGACTAGTGAAATAAAATCCAGGGCAAATAAATGGTATGTCTGAGAAGGTCAGTGGCTAGGGCACGTGTGAGGACCAATGGGGATTTGGGTGGAGAAAACAGGTTGGTATTCTTAGAATACTGGTGTCTGTCCTGTAGGGGACTTTGTAGAAAAGCACTGCTGCTTAAAGTCTAGTCATCCCTTTTTGGGTTTCAAAAGGCTTTTCAGGACTCCTAAGAGTTGAAGGACTCTTCAACTACCACCTGCTTGTTTGGGTTCTTACGTGCTCCTAACTACCCTAACATTCCACCTCCGGGGGAATGACCCAAAAGAGGAACTTAGATTCTGATGCTGATATTTGTGATTTTATTCAGATATTGGTGGAATTACAGGATAGAGACCCTTGTGTACAGTAGAGGGTTGCTGAGATCATACAATTCTCACAGATGAGAGCACTGGTCCAAAGAGGAGAAGCTTAGGCTTGTGGAAATGGGATCAGAACTCACACCTCTGACTCTCAGTACTGTGCTTTCCCTTCTCCACCTTTCATCTGCCTTCTTAGTGCTTGGGGCTTGTTTGGGTCTTCAGCTTTTATTGTCTTGTCATTTTGCAGTAGACAAGGATAGGGATGAAAGCAGGGCCAGCATTGCCATCACTTTCTAAGCACTTGGAAAGAACCCCTGGAGGTGGGCTTGTTTCTGGTACCTGTCCCTTGCTGGCCCACTCATCTTCCCATTTCAGTTTTGGAAAGGAATGCTTTTTGGAACTCTGGTTGCTGCTTTTTGTGCATTTAAGTTTTTTATTCTGTTATAGCTAAGGAACTATATGGGAGAAGATAGCCAGTTACTACTTCCCAAATTTTTGGATCCAAGTTTTCTGAGCCTTTTTTTGAACTCTAGGTCTTAGTCTATCCCAGGTAAGAAGGGGTTCAGCACCATTGTGACTGTGTAAATGCCTCTTTGTGAGATTCTCCCACGTCCCACAGGGATGCTTATTTAATTGCTAAGAAGAAGGAAACACTATTATCAAGTGAGTGTTTCCTCTGGTGAGAGCCCCACTATTAGAGAGGTCTCTGTCCTCTGAAATCTGTCACCTGATTGTGCTTGTCCTCGTGTCTGCTTCACGCTGTCCACGTGTTTGCCACTGCTCTTTTGAATTCAAAATATTTTGACTTTTCTCTACTGAGAAATTACTATTTACCCAACAGAGATGAGAGGTGACTTGTATATATGTACCAATTAAATTGGTAGCTTAAAAAAGGACATGAGAGGAAAAAAAAAATGCCCTTGAGGTATCCTTGAAGGCAGATGAGTTAGGAACTTCCTTTGACTTTGATTCTTCTCTCTCCTACCCAGGCTGGTGGGACTTGGGAGTCATTTTTGACACTGAAGGACTTTTGCACTTTGCAGGGCTGATAGGTGACACTGAATGCTTGTCATGAGATTGTGAGAGGTTATTGCCAATGTATATTGGGAAATTGGAAAGAAACAGCAGATTTTACAGTTAGTAGATAGTTGCTCAACCAGACGAGAACATTTAAACTCTTCAAACCTTGGTTGGTGGCTCATGAATCTAATTAGCAGGTGTCTGATTGAAGAGCTGTAGTTGATTTTTGGTAGTGTAAAGACATGAAACAACAGAGCCAACTGTTTTTTAAGTTTTTAGATAAAGATACTCACAAGGTTCAAAAAACAAAAAGGAGAAAAATTATTTCAAGTGAGGGTCCCTCAGTTACTGAGATTCTGCTTTTCAGACACAACCAGTGTTACCAGTTTCTTGGATATTCCAAAGATGTCTGTGTGTCCAAACAGGAAAAATTTCTCTTTCTGTCCCAAACACAAATTAGTAATAAATACATTGTTCTGCACCTTGCTTTTTAAAATCTAACAGCCTGACTTGAACTTTGTTTCACATTAGGATATAAAAACTTTTATTTGTTATTTTGTAAACAGCTGGATAGTATTCCTTTATAAAGGTAAACCATTTATTTCATCGCTACAGTCTTTTGCAAATAATACTTCAACATATAACCCAGTATTTGTGGTAAGTACCTAGTTTTTAGTGTATTCATTTCTATTCGTGGGAATGGAATGACTAAGTCAAAAGATATGTACGTTTATAATTTTGATAGATACTGAAATAGCCAGCTTTTGAAAATCTAGTCTGTATTTAGTGTCTGGAATTTCTCTTGTGGCTTCCTTTCTAAACCCCTTTTCTCTTTATTTACTCATTGTCTTGCCTGTTTTACTTCATTATAGACTTGTTTCTGGAAATGTGAAGAAGATCTGGCATTGGTCACTTGTAACTTGTCACTTGACCTAATTAAAAATATCTAGATTAAAGAGTATTAGTAGTGGAGTCTTGTTAGCCCCGTGTGCCCAGTAAAACTGGAGAAGCTGAGGAGTTAGTGTCTACAGCAGTGGATACTGTCAGTCAGTCCATAAAAGCTTCTCCTCATGCTGTCATTGTGAATATAAGCCCTGCCTTTGCCTTCTCACAGGCTAGCACTCAGTAAATATTTTTATCAGTTAGGGTCCCCTGTCTTTAATGTGGCCACCATCCTCAGGCCAAAAGGTGATGAAGGGCTGAAATTTTGCAAACATGTGGGGACTTCACAATCCATTTCTCCTAGTGTTTAATACTTAGACCTTGTTTTTGCATAACTGTCATCGTAAGGGCTTGTTGTACACAGTAGGATTTCATAATCATACTCATTCTAGCTGGGCACAGTTTTGGTCTGAATTTTAAGAATGATGTAGTATTTTCTTTGTACGTTAGCCAGAGGTTGGCCACAGCTAGTGGGTTAAATCCAATCTTAGGCCTATTTTTGTATGTCCCGTGAACCAGAAATGGTTTTTACGTTTTTGATGATTTGTTTAAAACAAAACAACAAGACCCACAAAACAAATAAAAACAGAAACCATGTACATCCTGCAAAGCCTCAAATATTCACTCTCCAGCCCTTTACTGAAAGAGCTTGCCAATCTTTATCGTAAGCTAGTAGTTAAGTCTTTTAAGATCACATATAGAAAAGGCAGAGGAGGAACTGCTCCACTGGGGAGGTGATGGCAGGTGGTTTCCTCTGCACATGTGCCTTTCTTTCCCTACCAAACAACTCTGGACTCTCAGACACTGGTTGGAAAACACTGTTCTGTTGGACAGTAATTTGTTATTAGCATGTTCAGGTAATGGACTGCTACTGAAATTGTGCCTTGTGCATACAGTTTATTGGCATTTTTCTCTTAAGCACAATAAACATTTCTTGTTTTTATATTAGCAAGGTTTTTTGGGGGACAGGTGGAAGATGGCAGGTTCATAGCAAAAATTATATTCGGGCCAAGCATATGTCATTGATTAGCATGGGTTAGAAAACCAGTTGTGGGTTAGCCACAACTGGTGTTGTGGCTTACATGGTAGAGTGCCTGCCTGACAAGCATGAGGCCCCAAATTTAGTCCCTTGACACTGCAAAACAAGAATAGAATGGGAGAGGGGGCAGAGAAAAAGAAAAAAAGAGACACAGAAAAACCTAGAACTTCTCTACTGTCCTCACCTCCCATTCCCTCCTTGCCCTTATGTCATACCTGAAGAAATTAAATGACACACTCAGGGTCACACAGGTCTCTTGACCCCAGGGCAGTTCCTTCCACTGTCTTTCACCGGCTTTAAAATTGAGACAATAATAGTTAAATAGTGAATCCTTCATATGACCTTCCTTGTTTTCTGCTTGTGTAGATAATCATCTAAGCATTATTACATAGATGGATTTTGAATTTTGGTATTTTAGTTGATCTTCTTATACTTCCTCAGTATGTCTCATGACTAAGAGGAGGTGGTGAGGCAGTCATCAGACCATAGTCACATACTGATAAGAGTGACTGTTTTTTGAGGGAAATATTTATACGTTTGCTTATATAGTTTCCTATTGTTTTTTAAAACATTTTCACAAACATGGTGACTTAATATAAAACATATTCTTACAGGTCAGAAGTCCAAAATGGGTTGGCAGGGCTGTACCCCTGGAGGCAGGCTTCGGGGGAGAATATTTGTCCTTGCCTTCTCTGGCTTCCAGTGACTGCCTGCATTTCTTGGCACATGACTGTGTCCCTCTGACTTCTGTTCTGTCATCACATCTCCTGCCCTGACTCTGACATTCCTGCTTCCCTCTGTAAGAACTCTGTGATTCTCTTGGTATAATTGGTATCCATCTCAGGATCCTTAACTCAGTTGCATCTGCAAAGTCCTTTTCCATTGAAGGTGACAAATTCACAGATTTTGGGAATTAAGACGCAAACATTTTTGGGGCTATTATTTTGCCTATCATAATGAATACATAAAATGTCTGAAGAAGGATATGAAAGGCTATTGAAATATTGGTTGCCCCTGAGGAAGGAAACGAGGTGGCTGGGGACCTTTTTTTTTTTTTTTGATATAGGCAGTCACTATGTTGCCCATACTGTCCTTGAACGCCTGGGCTCAAGTGATCCTACCACCTCAGCCTCTTGAGTAACTGAGACTACAAGTATGGGCCACCATAACTTGGCACATACTTTTATCTTTTTTGATATGTTTCTTTGCGCATTTATTTCTCCATTTAATTGTTAAAGCACCTTGATGTCATGTACTCAATGTTCATAGGTCTCTTGAAAATCGTAGTTGGCCAACCAAGCTTTTTCTTGATCAGTAAGTGATACAGACTTCTCAAAATTTATTATTTGTTTTAGGCAACATCAGAAGAGTCTCTGTGTAACTCAAGTTCAATTGAAAACATTTACTGAGGAACCCCTACAGCAGCACTGTCTACTGGAACTTTCTGCAGGGATGGAAATGTTCTGTCTGCATTGTCCAGTATGGCAGCCACTACCCACATACGAATGTTGAGTACTTGAAATGTGGCTAGTGAATTAGGAGACTGAAGTTTTATTTACTTACTTTTGATTAAATTTGAGCACCCACATGTGCCTGGAGACTATACCATAGCAGACCTTGCAGCTTTCAAAGGAAATGTAGTGAGTTCTGAGGTAGATTTCCCATGTGTACCCTTCCTGGATGGCCCTAAGTTAGCAGTAGGCCACATTCTAAACTTTAACTTCCATGTTGCAGCTGGATTTTGCTCATTCAAAGAACATGATTAGAAACTGAACTCTGAGGACAAATAGAAAAGGGTTGCCTTGCCAGACACAGCAAGTGTCTCATTGTCTTGATGCTTCTGAAGTTTTTCTCTTGTTTTTTTGAGACAGGCTGGCCTTGAACTCATGACCCTCCTGTCTGCACATCTTGAGTGTTGGGAATGAATATAGGTGTGCGCCACCACACCTAACTCTTCTGAAGTCTTTCTGATGCTACTGAAATTGTTTCTATGAAGAGAATGCATACTGAGTTTCTCTTCTCACCTGCTAAAAGGAGTACCTTTTTTTTTTTTTGGTAGGTACTGGGGCTTAATGTTTGCTAGGCAGGTGCTCTACCACTTGTGCCACTCCACCAGCCTTTTTTGTGTTATTTTAGAGATAGGGTCTCCATTTACACCCTAGGTGGCTTGGACTGCTGACCTATTTGTGCTTCCTGCATAGATGGGATGCCGGGCACACATCACCATGCCCAGTCATTGGTTGAGATGTGCTTTCACAGATTTTTTTGCCTGGACTAACCTGAACTTTGATTCTTCCAATCTACGCTTCCTAAGTAGTTAGGATCACAGGCTTGAGCCATCACATCCAGAGCAAGTGCCTTCTCTTGGGAGAGAACCTATTGAGAAGTCAATAGGATACTTTCCTAAACAGAAGCAGTGACTCTGCTGGAAAGCCCTTGCTCTCCACCCTACTTATCTTCAAGCTTTGGCTTTTCCACTTGAAGGCAGGAGATATCTAAGAAATAGCAAATTGGCACAAAGCTCACCTCTTCCTTTTATCCTCTTCTTACCTCAGGGAACTTAAATTGCTTTCTTTCCTCTCACACTAACCAACCCTGGAAATACTGAGCCTATCCATAGGTTGGGGCGTAGCTATCCAAGAGGTAATGCTGGGATTGTGGTTCTGGTACCTGTACACAGGTTTATGGATTTGCACTCATACCCAGGAGCCTTTGGAGTCTGTCCTCACAGCTTACTCCTTGAGATCTATAGCTTCTGTGCCTGGTAGAGGATGAGACCAAGAGGCCAGGAGGAGAAGTGGGCAAACTTCTTCTAAACCAGCCCATCCCATCTGGCAATGAAATCACAGATCCCAGGTCCTAAGTTTGGCTTTGCTCCCTGACAGCCCTGACTTTTCATGTACCAGTCAACCACTTGTGTTTCAGTTTCCTGATCTATCAAAATAGGCTTCTCAGATATATAGATCCCTGTTAGCTCTGCTGTTTTGTACTTGGGGAAAGGTGGGATTGTGGGAAACCCTGTCTGCCTACTCCTAGATGACTTCTCCCTCCATCAGCAATCCTATGTAATGCAGTGGGTAGAAGTTTCTCTTAGCCCTACCCCTCAAGGGGCAAAGGTTTCTGACTCAAAAGAGGACGCTTGCCCTGTAGCTAAGCAGCAATATTGAGAGGCCATATTTAAGGAGAATAAGGTTCCTGTTGTCCCTGGGTTATAGAAGGGATATTAGGCAGCAGATGCCAAATCTTGGGTTCTGGCTTGATGCACCTTTTGTTTAAGAAGGGATGGTGCACTCAGGAGGCCCCACACTTGCATCCAAGTCTAAATGAGGGCTGATGCTGTGGGCGTCTCCTGGTCTGCTATGAGCCCTGGTGTCTGTGTAGCAGGAAGCATAGTATTGAGTCTGCCTGCTTTATAACAGGGCTCCCTGTGCCAGGTGGACTATAGCAGTGTCATCACATAAATGGCCACACTTCACTGTGAGTAACCTTTCTTTCCCCTCTCTGGATTTTAACTCTGATCCCTTTGTCCTTAACAAACAAGCATTCTAGGTCTGATGTGAGACTGCGCATAGACACTGTCTCATTATCCCATTAATCTCTGTTTGCTGTCACACTTTCAGCCAATAGTGGCATTTGCCTGCCTGTAATTTGAAAGTCTTTTTTCATTGTCACTTACAGGAATTGCTGAATGACTCATTATGCTATGGTCAGCCCTCTCGGGTCCTATGCCACAATGGGGCTACCCAGCCAGATTAAACTGTGCAGCCACTGCAAGTTGCCTGGGTCATCAGGTCAGCATCTGTGGCTGTGGGTAGAGCTCTGAAGTGAATGTGGCTCGATAGCTTAGCAGTTCACTTTAGAGTGGAATCTGATTTGTGGACCAGCTCTGGATTAGCACCTTTTACTTAGAAGGCAGGTGCTTAGTGGATCTTTATGGAATGGATGAATGTGTGTGTGATCACACTGGGGACCCTGAGGATAAGGTGGAAGGCCACAACAATTCCCACTATTGTGTGCATCTCCTGGAGAACTTATTTAAAATGTACTCTCTCAGCATCACTATAGAGTATGACATAGTTGTTCTAACAGGAGGCCCACAGTAATGCATTTTAAACATGTACCAGGTGATTTACTTTCCAAGTAAACAGCATACAGAGAACAATGTCCCTGAGACTCTAAGGAGTGTGATGGGTTTAGGAGGTTTTACATGGAACATAAGGAAACAACCTGAATGCCTTTCTTTTCTAGCAGAGAAGGCAAAGGGGGTTTCATCTAACAATCCAGCTCAGATCAGTTCTTAATGGCCTCAGTGTTGAGGAAGATTCTGAGGACATACTCTTGCTGGGGATTATCAATAAGTGATGTCCTACATAGATAGATAGGAGTGTTGGCGCACATACCACACATCTGTTACGTTGGCGGCCTGGACACAGGGTCTAGAGACCAGATCCTCAGCTGGCGCAGGAAGGTCATGAAGGCTTACTAAATCATTATAATTCTTGGCTACCTTTCCCTTCCTTTTATGAGTAGAGGTGGAAAGCAGCAGATGATAATGAAAGGTTCAGTGGGGAGAGCAGACTGGCACTACACTGAATCTTGCCTTGCCTCTTAGCAGTAGTGTGACACTTAGCAATGGAATAATGGTAATGCCTATCCCAGGAAGTGGTTATGGGTTTTAAATGGAGACCGCAGAACAGTGCCTGTCATGTAGTGAGAATGGTTTGTGCCAGTGTTACTTTTATTACGGACTTACTATAGCTTGTGGGTGCAGAGGAATTTTCAGCTCTTTGGAGAAGGGAGTATTTGGAGTCTGAAATGCTCTTCTGGTGGTTGGGTTGTCACAAGAACATGCCTTCCAGTGGAGCTGAGGAAGGCAGGCCAGCTAGTGCCTAGTGGACAATGACTGATCTCTGGTTGAAGTTTTGAAAAGAAAGAATTGGGTTGGACTTTGGCATGGGGAGAAAGGGTGTTAGCTGTGACCTACTTTCAGAAAGAGGTTGCAGGCAGTACTGATGTATGGTGAAAAGAATCAGCAATGCTCAGACCTTGCCAAAGTGACTGCCATGGCTGCCCTGTAATTCTAGCTCCCATGTTACTGTTTAGCAGAGCTTTGCAGGGCAGCTGTAGCCTGGGCCATGTTCTCTTGTGGCCCAGACCTCACGTAGGACTCCTGTTTCTACCTACTTACTTTTTTCATCTAAGTGACATTATTAAGCTCCTGCTATAAGCCTAGCATTATGCTGGATGTTGTGGCCTGTGTCACAGGTACTTTATGCTCTGGTTGAGTAGATGTGCCAAACATTTTAACTTGCTACTCATTAAGCAAATTAAAAACAAAACAATACTTCGGTGAGACACCCACTGGGACACATGCAGCAAGGACCGAGGGGCACCCCTTTGGTATTTCCCATACACAGGATGGTAGAGATGTGTACTCAGGTGCAGTAAGCACAGTCCTGAGGGGGCCCCGTGGTTCCTGTAGCTGTTCAGAGAGAAAGCGCACTCCATGTGAGGGAACTAGGAAAGGTAGTGGGAGACCAGGACTGGAGGAGTTCTGGGATTCTAGATGAGAGGCACTTCTGGGTCAACAAAGGCACCTGCATGCTATGTTCAGAAAATGGCAAGTACACCATTGGTAAAGCATAGAATTTATGTGAGGACTGAGGTCAGGATGGTGTGGTCTTTGAATGCCAGTTTCGGGAGCTCTTGCAGGGTCTGAGTAGCAGTGACAGGACAGCAGAGAACAGAAGTAAGAGGGAGTGATGGTGGAATTGGAGAGAGGAGTGGAGACAGCTGTCCTGCCCAGACATGAGCTTCTGCCCTAGGCACAAGGGAGAGAGACCAGCCTTGAGGGACAGTGTGAAGAAACTAATTTACAGACACCATCTGCCCTGAAAGATGTAAATTTTCTTATCAACTAATCTCTTCTTGTGTTTTACAGATTCGGCCAGTTATTGAGCAAACCTTTCCTTTTACTAAAGTTCCAGAAGCCTTCCTGAAGGTGGAAAGAGGACATGCGCGAGGAAAGACTGTAGTTAATGTCATTTAAATAAATTCTGTATGCAGTTTAGTGATGATTGGCTTTCTTTTTAGTGAGTGCCTATGGTCCAAACATTTTTCTAGCTATCTCCCTCGGATATTTTTCCAAATTAGATTATAAATTCTATGATTTGTTTAAAAAACACACTGTTTTTTGCCAATAATTGATACGGTGTCAGCATTGGACTTGTCTTAGTGAGAATTGCATGTTGTTTTCATTAAGCTGCTCTTTCACTGAGCTTTGCAGATTGCTGTGGCACCTCTTCTTGCAGCTCAAGCCCTATTTTATTATATTAATGTCTGTGAGATGCTAGTGCTGTCAGTGTGCAGATGGATCCTAACACAAAGAACTTATTAAGAGCTAGCTCCTTGAATGCATCAGTGAGCATTTTTCTAACTGGCTACTATGGTTTGGATCTAAAATGTCTCTCAAAGACCCATGTGTGTTAGGCTTTTTCTCCTATCTGTGGTGGTACTGGGGAGGTGGTGGAACCTCTAAGAACTGAGGCATAGTTGGAGGAAGTTATATCTCCTTGGAGGAGATAGTGGAAGCCTGACCCCCTCCTCCCTCTCTTTGTACCTTGGCCACCATGCAGTGAGCATCTTGCTCCACCACTTACCCCACCACAATGTGCTGCCTCATCAAAGGCCCAGAAGCAACAGAACAACCAACTGTGTACAAAAATCTCCAAAACTGTGAGCCAGAATAAACTTCTTATAAGTTGATTATCTTGGGTATTTATCACAGTTGGGTATTTATCACAGTGAAAATTGGTATTGAGAAGTGGGGTTGTTGCTCAGTATACCTGACAATGAGGTTCAGAAGCCTTTGGAATTGGTTTGTGGGAAGAATTTGGAAACATTTAGAGAAGTGATCAAGAGAAAGGCTGGAATGTTGGGAGATTTTATGAGAGCTCAGAAGGCCAGAATGCTGATAGGAATATGGATGGTAAAGACCGTGCTGATGAGGCTCCAGAAGGAAATAGGAATTGTTATGGTTTGAATATGGAATGTCCTCCACAGGCTTGTGTTAAAGCCTAGGTCCCCAACTGATGGTGCTACTTGGAGAGGTTCTGGAAACATTAGGAGGTGGGGCCCGTTAGGAAAAATGCCACTCACAAAGAAAGCTCACGAGAAAAGTCTTACATCCATAGAGCAAAGTTTAATGGCAGGCCCAAACTGCCAGGCTGGCCAGGGAAAGGATGGCGCAGCAGCAAATCTGGGCCAGGCATGGCTTTTATAGAAGGGTTAAGGAAGTTAGCGCATGTGTAGTAGTCTCTGGTAGGGGTGGGGCTGTCTTAGTGGGATTTTCTGTTTAAGGGCAGGGCTGTCCTTGGAAGTTTCTCATGTGAGGTCTGAGGATAAAATGGCTGCTGATTTATAAATGGTGACATTATTCTATCGTTTTCCCATTTTTTCTTTTATGATGATGGTAGGGGCTGAGGATCAGGAATTGGGGCGAAGCGTTGGTCTCTTAGCTGCTTCTGCTGGCAGGGGGTGCTGTATGAGGCAAGATCCTCACACTCCTGTGGCGTCCTGGTAGGTTGATATCCCTGGAGGTACAACTGGTTAAATTTTTGATTAGCAAGAGCAGACATGTAGTATGATACAAGGGAGGAAGCTTAAGAATAGGAGAGCAAGATCATAGGCATTAGGATGGGCATTGGCCAGGAGAACCACTGTGAAATGTTGTTCCCTAGAGGATTCCAAGAGTCCTCCAATTCCCTTCTCCATTTCTCTAACTGTTCCTTGAGAGGTGTTGCCACTGGGGGATCCCATTGAGCTTGATAGTAGTGGGTGTTGTGAGAATGACTAGATGAGGGCTGGTCCATTGAAGTCCCAATGGAGAGGGTAAAAGATCCTTTAAGAGAACAAGATCCCCTGATTTAACAGAAATTGTTATAGGGTGGGGCAGGATTTGGTCTGTATGTTTTCTGAGAAGTTCCCTGAGAAGGTTAAGGTAAGGCAGGTAGTCAGCCAAAGGAGCAGTCTGTTGGAGGCAAGTTTTTTAAGAGAAATGGGTGGCCATACATTATTTAAGACTGAAACAGAAATATTAGGAGGAGCATAAAAAGGTGCCTGCTAAGGGACTGCATACCTAAGGATCTAAATTTTGTAAAATCCTGTAACTCCCAAGAAAGCTCTAAGATGTCTTATGGTATGGGGGGAGGAAAATGGAGGATTGGGTTGATGCACTCATGACTCAGGAAGTGAGTCTGTCCCTTTAAGGCCACACCTAGGTAGGTGATCTGTGGGAGGCAGGGGCTGTCAGGATTTAGGTTAAATGTAACACTTTTGGATAAAAGAGAGTTTTAGCTCATTTTGTATATAACTTTGTAAATGTTTGTACCATATTTAGATAAAGTATAGACACAACACAGTTATAAGGTGGTCATTTAAGACACATAAGAAAATATGTAAATGAACTCTGATTTAGTAGTACTTAAAGCTTGACAAGATCAGCAGAAAACACAAATAATTTCTTTGATAAAATCTTTGTAACAGTTTTTTGTAGATGTTACTCAGCGCAGAACAATATTAAGATAACCTTGTTATTTTATAGACATAAAGAATTTGATTTTAGTTTGACATGACCCTAAAAATCTTTTAGGCAACTCTTAGATTATATTCAACTTTAACTTTATTACACATCGAAATTTTTTATTATACATTTTAAAAATGTACTCAGACCTTTATATAACATACTAAACCCTTTGATGGCTTGTCTTTATCCCACCTATTTGAAACAATCTTTAGGACAAACCCTTCTTTATAAAATCCTTTTTTATCTAAAAACATTCCCTTTTTCCTTTAACTTCTCAAAAAATACACTTATTATCTATCTATATCCTTTTTAGTTATTTACTTTGTAACTTGTATTTTAAAATTAACTTTTATAAGAATTTTGAATTTATTATATGGGCTGTGGTAACTAATTAGTAGCCCTTGGTGTTTTAAGGAATTTATGACAGGCCTAAGGCCTCGTGTTCCTCAGGCTTTAGGGGATATTGTTTTTGGTGTGGAAACTGTGAGGGATTTTTGAGCTTTATTTGAATAGGGAGGGCCATCCTGCCTCGCCCTACACTCATCAGTCCACACTGTGGGATCTATTTGTTCCTGAAGGAGGGGGCAGCAGAAATAGCTGCCTCGGGGGAGGAGAATTTGAGTTTTTAGTTGAGATAGTAAATCCTGTCCCAAGAGGGACATTGGAGTTTTAGGTACTATGAGGAAAGAGTGACAGAAGAGGAGGTCTCCCCAAGAGCAGGCCAGAGGCTGGGTAAAATAGTGCTCTAGGGGCTGGCCAGATTTGCCCCAAACGATAACTTTTACCATTGGACCAGGGACCTGGAGAGAAAGGTAAAACAGAGAAAAGAGCTCCACTGTTTAGCTGGAAAATGATCTTTTGGTTTTTTGTCATAATGGCTACCATGAGGTGCCTCAACATCGATGCCAAGAAGTGGAGCGTGGACAGGGAGCCAGGACCCATCAATCCATAGGAGGTGGTACCTCGCCTTCCATCTGGAGACAGGGGCACTTAGACCTCCAGTGGTTACCTTTCCAGAGAGAGCAGGGTCCTGGTTGGGGGTGGGGCTGTCTTCTGGGCTGTCCCCCTTAAGCATTCTCTGCAGAAATGTCCCTCCTGTCCACCATGGTGGCAAACTCGAGATGTAGGCCCCAGTTGGGTGGGGGCAGCAATGAGGTCATGTCCCTTATCTTTCTCTCTGTTAGTAATGTCCCAGTTATAATATACAGATGTGGCTACTTGTATTAGTTGATCCAATGACTTTTCTCCTTAAGCCACAGACTGAGTTTTCTACAAATATTTGGGGCTGTTAGAAATTTATCTTTGAGGAGAACCTCTCTCACCTGTGACTCTGGGTCCATTGTGGTATGCTTTCTGCTGGCATCCTTAAGATGTTGTAGAAAGGTAAGGGGATTTTCTTTAGGGTGTTGCTGTAAAGCAAAGTTGTTATTTCACATTGACACCTGACCCTGGAGAGCAGGTCTCTAAACTGTTCTGGGCCTCAGTTTCCTCACTTGAAGAATGAGGGATCTGGTCTAGGTTAAATTTCTTTCCTCCACGATGAGATGGCTGAAGTGGCATTAACGCCATTTATCCTCTTCATTTTTTTTTTTTTGATTTAGTAATGTTGGGAAATTGAACCCAGGTCTGTGCACATGTTGGGCAGACACTCTGTCACTGAGCTATGTCCTTATCCCCAAATATATATATATTTTTTCCTTTGGCTGTACTGGGCTTGAACTCAGGACTTTATGCCTGCAAAGCAGCACTCTACTGCTTGAGCCATATCATCAGCCCCTTTTAGTGTGGATCAGTCAAGGGGACTGCCTGTGCCCCTGTAGGTAGGTACATTTATTCCCTTATTTCCAGGTGCCACTAGTATTGGGGCTCATTGTAAATGGTAATCATTTCCAACCTGAGTGGCCTAGCCCAGAACCCATTGCTTTTCTAATGAGAAAAGAGTCTGGTCTAGTAGAAGCATAATATCCTTTCATGTCAGTTGAAAGGTTTGGATCACAGAGATAAAGGCTTGAATGTATTTGTCTGGGCATCAGTACAACTGTTTAGATGTTTTTTAATTTCCCTTAGATCTGATAGCTGGAAGGGGACATAGATTTATGTTGAGGCTGAAAGTATAGACAATTTTAAATGAGAAGTTTAGAGACCACAGTAATGTGTTATTTCTGGGACTATAACCTCGAGTTAACAATTGGCTTATAAGGGCTGGGTCTGGTGCCCTGAAGTGTGAGGTGGGGCTAGGAGCAGGGCTTGTATAAGGTGTCACTCTCTCCACACACACCAGGGACAAGCGAGCCTGTCTGCCAAGGCCTGATCCCCTCCCTGCTTCCTGTGTACTCTGCGTGCGTTTATTCTAGGGGAAGTGGTGGCGGGCTACAGCCATCGCCACGTGTGGCTGGTGGCGGGCTACAGCCATCGCCACGTGTGGCTGGTGGCCCAGGATGTGTTGGGTCTTCTCTATGGATTTTCTTAGCTATGGCAGGTGTTTTTGCTATGTCCAGGAGCCAGCATCCCTGTGCACAAGCACACCTGTTTGCTTTCCCTCCTCCCTTTGTCGGGGCAGAGTTAGGGCGTAAGCGTGGCAGCCGCAGTTTTTTGTAAGCGCTTTTTGTAAAGCAGCTGATTTAAAGTTACTTTAGACTGAGAGGCCTGGAAAACTAGTTGGAATAATTTAAGTCATAAGGTACCATGCTACAAGTTTTTCATAGGAGGCAGGGTCCCAGTAAGCCCAGGGAGGGGAAGGCAGACAGAGACAAAAGACACGTGGTAAGACCATGGAGGGAGCAGAAAAGGTGTCCTGACACCTTAGATAAGGGAGGGGAAGGCAGAGCCTGGAGGCATGACACACACCTGAGGTATTAACCATCACCTGTGTCTCTAGGTTGCTCTCATTGACTGGTACTGGAACACTTTCCACAACATGAAGCCTCCATTCTCCAGTCACTGAATAAACACTGGGCTTGGTTTCAGCACACAGGGAGGGAGCATGAACTCTTCCAGAGTTGGAATTGCCTTGAGGCCAGAGTTGGCAAGAAGTGGCTGGTGTGGCACCATGACGGAAAAGTCCTTCAGGAAGATAGGAAGAGACAGGAAGCCTGAGCAGCGCAAGAAGTCTGCTTGCATGGG